ATTAGAAGCAGATTTCATATACAATGTGACCACCATAAAATGACCAGTGTAATGACATCTGTCATTTTTATGTCTTTCATTTGTTTACAGGCCAGAAAAACAAACAAATAAACAGAAAACCCACCGAAACAACATTTATTGGAGCAAATAATCAGAATCCACTTCAATTAGTTTGCATTGTGCTGAGGCATCTGGATTGCCCTTGAGGCAGAGGGTTTCAAGAGAGCTCTATTTCATAGTCCCAGAATTTTATTTATATGTCTTCTTGTACTGGACACCTCAGTGTACAAAGTTATCCTAAAACACAACAGCTTTATCAGAGTCAGTGCATCTAAATAAGGGGTTAATAACAAGCAAGTATGCTACTTTAAGTTTTCTCTGTAGACAAACCCCTAGATCATAATCCTACAGTAAGTTCCAATTTAGTGCTTACAGATTTAACCAGCATTACCACTTTCAATTGCACAGAAATCATGTTCCTCTTCTAAAAACATAAGATTGACTGATTAGCATAGTAATGCTGGCTATAAAAAAATAAAAGCAACAACAACAAAACCCAAATATCTCCCTCTAAGATACTCTTATTTGCCTCCAGGTTTTTAAGTTTGTAATATATGCCCCTAACTTTAACAATCAAGAAAAATTGCATGGAAGGAAGGAAGGGAGGAAGGGAAGAAGTGAGGAAAGTGGATTAAAGAATTCAACCTAGTTTTATTGATTGTTTCCAAAAGTCACCAAGAAAAATATCTTGAGTGATATTAAACATTCAAACTTCCAATATTTATCGTCATTACAACATCAGAAAGTTAGCATTTAAAAAAATCTATAAAAGAGAAATAAAGATATGATTTCATTGAGCCTGAAGATACAAAAAGAGCACCACAGACACTGCCATCTCTGCTCTGCCTTCAGTGCAAATTTCATTAGATCAATGTGATTTTAGTCTGAATTTTCTTCTGTCTTTCTGTCTTTGAGTTTCTTTTGTTGCTCTTCTATTGTGTGATTTTAGAGTTCTGTGGTTAAATATTGCCTCTCCTTGGCTGTTTAAGATTCTCTTATTTAGTCATAAAGCACATAAAAAACATTATCTTTATTCTGTGTAGTAGAAGATAAAGCTGTAATACCAAACTTCCAGAGAACATTGCCACAGAAAAATATGATTTTACAAAAAAGGATTCAAGCAACACTAAAGATGGTATTTAGGCAGATGATCTCTGTCTGAACAGCATTTCTCCTGAGACATGGATTGGTCCAGGAAAGAATTTGTTTTCTGATAATAAGCCCTTGGACATTTTCCCAGGTAATGGAGCTAATGGAACTAATTTGTATGATACATTTGTATGTCTTAACAATCAAATTTTCATATATTAACTTAGTGTTTTTTTGTTTTTTTTTTTAAGATGCATTTTAAAGTTTCACTCCTAAACCTTAAGTTAAAATCAATTTCTTTATCCTCCCTGCTGTGGCTTGTCTAATCTCTCATCTTCTGATTGAGCTTTTCTTTGGAAAACTATTTGAAAATATCATTTCTTATAAACTAACAAATAGAAAATAAATAACTGATGTCAAATTTAATGTTCAGGAACTTTTGAAAGAAACTAAAAACAAATGGATTTCTAATATAGTACTTTTCCTATTTACATTGGAAACAGCTTTAAGTGGGTGAGCTTTGCCAGTGTTACATATATGAAAAGAATTTTCCTGTGTGTGGATCATGTTATACTAAACAATAAGCACAACTGTGATAGTTAGAATTGCTATGTTACAGATATCCAGAAGAGTCAAAAGACTCACTAGCAATGATTTGCTTGTGCTTATCCAAATATCTTGCTGGATGGGGAAAAAAAAATGAGACAAAGCATTTTACCTACACAGAGTTGATAAACAAAGCATTTACTACATGATCACATATTCAGTTACCTCTTTATGCAGGCAGAATACTAGTCACAAAAAAATGTTCATTTCCTTTCTTTGTCCTTTTCCTGAATTATAGGATTACAGATCATGATTTCAGCGTATGGACTGCAAGCTCTTTGCTTTCAATGTTACCTTATTCTTTTTTCTCAGAGCTACTTCAGAGATCCCATTTTCAAAAAAATGTTTTCTTCTTCTCTGTTATTTTTCTTTAGGATGTCACAAAAATAGTTTTAATTCACATTATCTTGTGAAGACATATTTACATACAAAAGTTCCTGTTTTTACACTAACAAGCCAAAGGAAAAATTGTTTTGTAAAAAAATGAATAAAGAAGTTAGTAAAATATCAGCACCAATTCTTGGTGTCACAATATGAATTCTTTGATACATTTCTTTATGTGGATCCTTCTTCTTCAAATCTTAAAGAAATAAGTGAGAAGAAAGTAGAAAAGATAGGAAATAGCCATGAAGAAGTCAAAAAGAAAATTAATATTCAGGAGATCTGAATAAAAGAAGGTCTGAAATTAATGGTACATCACTCTTCCATTTCAGTCAAGCTTATTCTGGTGGTGTTTCCTCCTGTTCCTTCCAAACTTGACTTTGTACTTGGTTATTAAAGTAAGTTCCATAAGCCTTTGAATTTCAACTTTGTGTTTAGACTATGCTAGTGTTTGAATTTCTTTCCCTTTATAGAATGGACTTTGAAATCTAACTGCTCCAAATGCAACTTTTTAATTTGGCTACTAGAACAAAATGAGTTTTAGGCAATCTAAAGAGCACTGCTTAAATTCTGTTTCAAACTCTACTTTTGTGTTGTGCAGCTGGGGACTGTGGTTGTACTGAGTACAGTTAGGGAGAAAGTACAATAAAGCAAATGCGTTCTATTCTCTAAAGACAAGGAGGATTGAATCAGATTATAATACAATACCCAGCTGCTGCAACTGATTTCATTTTATTTTATTTTCTGGATCACATGATTCAATGAATCAGATGTAGAGCTTTGCATAGGCCTCTTCCCTTCTACTTACCATCAGTACCTCTGACACATTCTTGATAAACACAGTATAAAGTGTTGGCATATTATAAACCAGACCATGGCGAGGTTGAGACAATGAAGATTCCCTACATTGTGAATTCCAGTTGCGTGGTGCAACCACTTTAGGAGATGAGGGGCAATTTCTCACTGTCCACATGATGGATGGAAGATGGCAAACAGTGAAGTTTCTTTGTACAGTGACTCAAGTAGAGCATGACAAATAAATTAGTATTTTGTATTTAATACCCCCACCTTAAAAACAAAAAAGTGAAAAAAAGAATGTGGCTTTGACATGTAGAGAAGTGGATTTCAACACTTACAGTAGCTTAATTAGTAGCTTAATTTCTTTGGCTGTAAACTGCTAAAATATCTTAATAGTTTAATTAATGTAATCTGTCATCTTAGGTTGTAGTTGATTAAAAATGTCTAGATTAATTTTAATGGACAGTTTTTGTTGTGGTTAAGAATTGGAATGAATGGTCTGAGTACTCTAAACAAAGAAGTGGGTGCAGTTTGTAGGAAAAAGATGATGAGTGAAGAAGACAAAAAGGAAGTTATGAAGTGAGTGCCCACAGAGAAAGAGAGATCAGAAAAGTGAAGGGAACAGACTGTGGTAGCAAGAATGAAATTGAGAGAATCAAGCCATGCAATGGGATTTGTAATTTGGTTGTTTCTGATTATCTGATTTTGAATTCTAGAGTTTCTCTTTTCTTTTTTTCTGAAGGCAGCAGGTTTAGGATTTAGTCCAAAGAGACTAGAGCTAGTTATCTTAAACTAAGAGAAGTAAAATTAAGTAAAGACCAAAAACACAAGTGTGAAATCTTGGTAACAGGACTTGTCTATAATATTTTAATATGCACAAGATAAAAGTCAACATCACAGTTCACAGAAAATCATATAACTTTTCTTCAGTTTAAGAAAAAATAAAACAGATGTATAAGTTTGCATGTGTATGGATGTATTCAAATAGATAGACACTGCCATGGCAGCCTTCAGGCGGAAAGAAAGCAGGCAGGTCCTGAGACAGGAAGAACTGGGGAAAAGAAGGCTCTGTGTTTCTGGTCTCTGGAAAAAGAGACTCTCTGGGACCATCCCAACCACAAGAAAAAAGCTTTAAGTAAAGCAAAGCCGAACTGTTTTCTTCTTAGTACCTCTTTCTTGACTGCAAGATCCAGATCTGAGCTAGGATAGCTACAGCTGGGTTATCATAATGAGTTTGATTTCTTCCTTTCAGCTCTGGTAGAAAGGGAAAAGGCAAAGACAGGCACTGAGCAGAGCCAGGCACACAGGCAGCACAGCATCAGCACCTGTTGCAGCTACCCATTACCTTCTCATAGTGATTTCATTAAAGCCCAGTGCCACATGATGGAAAGTTAATGCCATACGGATTAAAACAAAATCCTGTAGGGCATCAGTTCAATTTTATTGCTGCTGGTGAGAAACACTGGGCCAGGACTGTCTGTTACAGTTAAAGTTGTATGCTACTGCTTTCAGTGTAAACAGTAATGAAAATGCTGAAGCTTCACTGAGGGAAGTGCTTTAATTTTGTTTCTTCTCCTCCAAATGCTAATAATAACAAAACGTCAAAGCACAATTGCCAAATGTGTATCCTTTAAAAAGCCAGCAGGAAATGGGCTCATAAATAAGTTGCTTTGTGATTACCAGTACTCACCAACCCCCCTCCCTTACCAGAAAAGTAATAAAATTCACCCAAATAGCTCAGAAGAGAGAGAGGGAAAAAAAAAAAAAAAAGAATAAGAAAAAAATGTATATGTGTGTTGACATCTGTGTAAGAGTGTTTTGGCAAAAGAGGAAGGATTTTTCTTGAACAGACAAAGAAGCATTCCATTGTGAAGACCCACCCTTTTGAGATATTTAGTAGATATCTGATCTTTTCTTCTATATATAAGTACCATGAAATTAGATAATGGAGGCATTTGCGTTCACTTCTTATTGACTCTACTCCTATAATTATATGAGTTTTAAAAAGTGAAGATTTCTATCTTTGCTTGGTAAGCAATTGAGCTTACTAATATTTCCATTTCTAGGAGACCCTCCGTCCTGTGGTTCTACTGTGGATTCTTTGTTATGTCTGACTTGCATTTTCATCCAAGGTACGAAGAGGGTAAATAAGGGTTTATATCTGGAAGAAGAATTTATAGGAAACATTGCAGGAAACAAAGCCAATAAAAATACTAATTAGCCAAGTAAAACTAAAAGGTGTTTTTTTTTTTTTTTTTTTAAAGAAAGATCTGAGAGACTTCTGTTTCACTAAAATGCATGCATAAATAATATTATTAAAAGGGTAATATTGTAGTGTTATTATTGAGTACCTTTGAAATATTGCAAAAATATAAAAATGTGGAAGAAGGAAGAAATTAGAAGAAAGGAGTTAGCAAAACAATAGGAAAAAGTATACATCTTATGGACCAGCAAATAATACTGAGGGCTGTAATGTCATATAAAATATATATGTTATCTAGTATAATATTATCATAGGGACCTACACAGGCTTGAGCAGTGAGCCCAGCTAGGGTAACAATGTAAAACTTAGATTTGTACCATGCACTTTTCTGAGGTATGGAAAACCTTTTCAAAGTACTTCTGGAAAGGGATAAGTTTTGAAAACAGTTTTAGTACCACCTCATTTTTGGTTGGGCTACACCTGTTTTGTTCATGTACCAAATCACTGAAAAGTGGGAAGATCACAAAAGCACTCGAGGCAGCACACACTGAATCAGAAAGTGTGTGTTTCCCAGTTCCACGAGAAAAAGCTGCAACCATGGTTTTGGATATTCCATTTGCAAAAGTCTTTTAATGTTGTGCTTCTATTGAGTGTAACTTAATGCAAATAACTTTCCCAGAAAATGCTTCCCCAGTCATAATAATGCTTCACTGGATTTTGCAAAGGATTTTTCTGAGGAAAGCAGAGGAGAAAGTGACTTTTTGCTTGAACTCAATGGAAATAATCCAGATTCATCTGACAACGAGCTGGATCAGAATTTTGGGCAGAGGTTCTCAAAAACAGAAGAAAGAAAATACGCAATTTTAACAGGAAAAAAAAAAAAAAGAATAAAAGGAAAGAAATACCCTGTTGTAATTAAATCAACAGGGAATGATTAGTACCCTGAGAAGGTAACACTGGGTTATACCATCCCACACAAGTGGCCTAAAGACCACACAGAAACTTCTCCACATCTCAGTTCAATAATACCTCCCTTTTTTGAATGAATGAATGGAAAAGATGTGCAAGCACAAGAAAACAGAAAGATCCATAAAAAAAGACAAGCAAACAAAAAATCCCTCTAAAGACACGAGACATATTTGACGTTTGACCCAGCCTGGACAGCCAGCACACTTGGGGAGAAAGAGAAGATTCAGTGACGCATAAGGAATGTAGAAACTTGAAAATAGACTTGGCACTGAAGGAAAAGTTGAATTTGATGACCAGATGATGGGTGGCTAATATAAAGTGACACTGAACAGAGAAAATTATTTCCCTAGAGAGCGACATTTTTGGATAAAACATCAGGATATGTGCCTGCAATTTGTTTGTCCTGATTCTGGAATTAATTGTATCTTTTAGGCTCATCTTCAACAATTTGCAAGGCGTCCTGATGTTGGTACTAGATTCACTGTTAGGCTTTGCTAATTACAGAGTTGGAAGAAAGATGTCTTGCAAGTTTGAGCTTTTGTACTTTTCAAATTTTCTACTCTGATAAACCAAAACCAATAGGTTATATAGGTTTTTAAAAAAGATTGTTTCCAATCAAGAGATTCCTCTCTAAACATTTTAAAGTCCGAATCTATTGTTAAAATACAGAAACTTTTGGAAACTGCATATACATATAAGACCCAATTTTCTACCCTCTTAATAGAATCTTACACGATACATATGTTAAACATAATTTTGGATGTGATGATTGCCTCCAAAGTATTAACTTTTCATGTTAGTAGAACCATCTTACAAAAAGTTAAATTACCTAAACATAAAACAGTATGATAAATCATACATGATACAAATATTCCTTTGGAAAGCACAGAGAACCTGCATTACAGTTAGTTCAGTATGGAACAACACTCTAAAGAAATGTTTCTATATGCACAGAAATACATCTTTATCTGGTCATCTATCTGAAGGGTATTTTGGAAAAAATGCTATCATTTAGAACACAAATTAGGAGAATTTATTAATCTCTTGGATGCAATACTTTATTCATATCTCGTATAAATTAGATTTTATATTAACTTAGTAAATTAAAAATATGTTGATGCACGTAAAATAGCTGTCTCTCCTAGGCCGTTCAAACCACATCAAGGATAGAGATCAAATTATAACTGCCATAAAAAATCTTTAGTGTAGAGATTTAGCAATTATATCCTGCCCAGATACAGAAAGATGATATATCAGATACTCTGGGGTGGCATTGCTGAGAAATGCTGACTTTGTAATGGTGATTGCTTTGCTTGCAGAGTGGAGTACTGCTGGGAATGCTGCACAGAATTTAAGGAGAAGCATATGAAAACCAGGCAGCACGTTGTGGCCACTGGTCAGTTGTCCTGAGGACCTACTTTGTGATGCCTGAGCATCCATATATTGTATCCTTTATTTGCATATCGTTCTGCATTGGGTTGTAAACTATTAGAGTCATGTGTTGCAATTTGTGTGATGTGATTATGCTGGTAATCCAGACTCATGCTTCTTACTAACTCTTCTGCAAGATAGAATAGCATTACCAATAGAGTCAGAGGGGCATTACCTCATTTTGTTGATGCTGCATTCAGATTGTTTAGGGTGAAGGTGACCTACCTGCAAATATCAAGTAGATACAGCTTCACAGGTACATTAAACACAAAGGTAGCGTATGTGGCAATATCAGTGAGCACTGTTGTATGCATATCCTTTACCTATACTTGTGCAAAGTGTTCACTGTTTGCTTAATGAATCTTAGGCCTCATATGGTATATTTACTCTTCCATATTTATATAAGATTATATAAAAGTCTGCCTGGGATATTCAACTTAGCTTCTTGGCAACAAGGATATGTTCTATGGAGTTGTTTGCTGTATTACATCACATTTAATCTTTTTTTGTTAAGAAGACAAATCCATGATTTTTCTGGTTTCTGACTTAGGAGATTTATTGTACGCTCTTACACCTAGTAATTTGAACATGTAGTGAATTGATTGTTAATCATCTGTCTCTCTCATCATGTTCATTCATTAAAAACACTGTAGCTTCAAAGCTTGAAAGTGTGTATATAAAACTAGACTTGTGCAACTACACAGATCAGAAGGAAAGGGAAATAAGATTTTTTCTCCTTATGCACAGGACTATAATTTTATAAAGATATGTTTAATCTCTGTTGATGAAAACTAGTTATTATGTATGTATAAGAAAAAAGGCAAAAAAATTATACTCTACAAAGTCTTCATGAATCCAAGAGAAATCTTGGATTTTAATGCATTATCTGTTTTTGTTTTTGTTTTTACAGTACAGCTTTTATATATGCTCTTCTGTGGCAGCACAATTTGGACATCATTACTTTTCTAATCTGGCTGCAAAGATGCTGATGAGACACGTGTTTCTGATTGCAAACAGTATTCGGCTTGTCTTTGAAAAGACAGCATAATAAATTTGTTCTTTCTTGTCTACACAACAAAGACATTATTTATTACTTTATCTATTTCCTGTTATTATCAATTTTTGTTGGTATAAACAAAACAAAAAATAAACATAAATATTATCTGGAAAATCCTCAGGAATTGCCAAAATGGTTTTCATTATGCGGAGTGTGTCCAGCCTTTAATTCTAGTTTCTACCATAAGTGCTGAGCAACATACAGTTGCTGACATAAAAAAAAAAACAACAACACAACAAATGCATTAATGTAGCAGATTATATCGCAAACAGACAATTTTCTGTGCAAAAAACAGATTAAGATATATTTGGAACCCAGGTTTCCATCTCAAACTTTAGTTTCTCCCTTGACAGAGGGAGAGGTTGTTAGTCTGGAGCAGTTCTTGTAACAACATGAAAATTCTATGTGTCAGAGGCTTTTAGTTACCGTGAAGTCATGAGTGAAAAATGTGTGCTCAGATTGCCTGGTTTTCTCCAGATTACTACAGAGAGCAGCAGGTGCTGCATGTAGCATGCACAGAGTCAGTCGTATAACTGATTCGAAGCAGCAGATTGCTGACTCGAGGAACACTGTTCTCCATTTTTTAGCCAGGATAGAAGTGCATTAATGTTTCTGACACTGATTTTTTCAATATCTAACCTTTTAAATGGACAGAACAGTGGCCAAATTATGTTTTTTATATTCGAGGTGCTGAATCTTTGGCCTTCCTATGAGAGTCTCCTTGGCCTGTGCAGCCTCAGTCATGCTAGGCAAGATGTTGATTACCATCCTCAGTAGCACAGGCAGTGATAGAAGCTTCAACAATCTGTGTTCCAAAGGGCATATTCACTCACTATTAAAAGGCAGCCTAGTCTGCATATTTGTTTCGTGATCTATTCATTAATAGATGTTTTTCTAATCACAATTTGTGGAGGGTTTGTAGGCAATGAATGGCCCTTTCAAGGGAGTTGGACTATGAATACTTGTTTATTTCTCATGATTCTGATGTTTCTCAAGTGGTCTACATGGCATCAGTGTAAAGCAAATTACTACTCTCCGAGGCTATTTTTCTTTCCAAGACACTGAGGAAATTAAGTTCAGAGGCTTGAGAAAAATGTGTTATTAATTTATTTATTTAATCACAGAAATTCATTAAGGAACATGCTGAGTTTCATATAGCCTCTACTGAATGCGTAAAGGTCCATATGTTGTTTACAACAGACATATTTTGATAGCTCATCTTCATCAACATAGCAAGTTTAAAATAGGCCTTTATTCAGGCTAGAGTTATTTTTAACCCAGATCATTTAAGTTATCCAAATTAAAGCATAGCCCTAAGAACAATTTCATCAGTTGGATCAAATGGAAACGTGATAAAATGATGGGAACAATCATCCAGAGATGGAAAAGCAATGGACTAAAATTGGTTCTGTCTCCAAACCCATCCAGAATCAATAATCTGAAATTATTAAATGGATTTTTACCAAAAGTGAGCAAGGCAGATGGTTGTCCAGACACACATTTGAACGTACTACACAAGTGCTCCAATAGTTAGTTCAAAGAATTTTCTTGGTTCCCAAATTTAAGGTAGTTGTAGTTCATGCTTTTGAAAACTACTCATGAGCAGATTTCACTAGACTGGGTAACTGGGTAACTGGGTCATGAAGTATATGGAGAAAAATGAGGTGCTCAATGAGTTCTTTGCCTCAGTCTTCAACAGCAAGGTCTCTTAGCTGCACTGCCCAAGTTGCAGAATGAAAAGGTAAAAACTGGGAGGTTAGCCCACTAAATGAAGATTAGGTTTGAAACCATCTAAAGAACTTGAAGTCCATGGGACCCAATGAGATCCATCCACAAGCATAGAAGTGGAACCTATATGCATTACACAGGAAAAAAGGAAGTGGAAAAAAAAAAAGTATATAAGAAAATAATTTATGTAAGGTTCTGCATACCAGAAGTGTTTTCTTTCTAGATAAAACATACTGAAAAATCTTAGTTTGCCTTCTGATATAACTTCATTACTGCTGTGGATGCATTTAGTGCAGTGCAGAGATACCCAAGTAAATCAAGTCATTAGGGCAAAAAACACAGAGCACTATATTCTGCATCCCAGAACAGTGCCAGCTCAATCCCAAAATAGTAGGTATCACATGAGAGCAATGTTATTGCTGAATGAATAAACTATGACTCTTATTATCATAGATGCAGTGTCATATGTACTTTACTGCTTGTTTGAAAGCTGACATAATCGTTTCCGGAAGGCTTTCTGTGTAACTCACCACTCTATGTTGTAAATACATATGAACTGTAAAAATAAAGGAAACTCACTTAAATGTCAAGACCCAAGTGCTGAATTAAATTTTTGGCAAATTAAACTTCAATTAATTTTAAATCCAAAAATTTCATAATATATTCCTTCGGAATTACTCAATTTTCTTTCAGAGAAGATTTAATCTTTTCAGTAGGAAGAAATTAACAAGTAAATAAGTAACCAGAAAAATTTTGCCAAAGAATGGTCAGAGAGGAGTGCTGAGAAGAAAATGCTCATCTGAGAATGTTCTTTTTTCAAAGCACTAAAATTTGCATTCAGTTGAATAAGTAATGATTATAAAGCCTTCTTTTTCCAGATTCAAGAATACAAGGGAATGGTAAGAAAAAATCTCTGGAGAATTGACAAAAGCAAAGTGAGAGAAATATAGATGAAAAAATAAATGAAACAGACCATTTTAATGTGTTAATGATGTGTAGCTATGAAATGGCATGTTGAATCATCAGAACTACAATATATTTTTTGTGCTAAACCCCTGGTGAAATCTTTAAAAGCATTTTACTGGTATAAATGTGAGTCAGTGTTTTCTGTGAAGTCTTGGGTATGCTGTTACAAAAAACATGCTGAACATTCCTTCTGGTCTCTCAAGTAGGAGTTCCAAGCAAACCCTCTATGATTCTGGAGAGTTAAAAAGACAAAAACAAACAAAACAAAGCAAAACAAAACAAAACAAAAAAACCCCACAAAGTTAAAGACTCAGAAGAGCAAACAATGTCATACAATCAAAATATGTTTTCCCAATATTGCAGCTTCACAGAAACGGTTGGGATTATATTTGCTAACAGTCCCTCCTTTTGAGATGTATATGTACAAGGCACTGGGTACGCAATTCAGTTCACTAGTTGCTGTAGTTTATAGAAAATGTTCTATAGTTTGAGTGAGTTTTGGAAAGCACCCTACATTTATGATCTTATTAATGATCTTGTTAATGTAGAAGAAAAGTGCATCTCTTTATTCAAGCCAGAGATAACAGGAGGGTGGATATATGGTATATGATATGGTATATCTGTGTATTGACAATGAGCAACTTGCTCACTGCTACAATTCCTAGAGCCCTGACTTTACTGTGAGACAATGCTAGATCACTCATCATTATAAATATAATCCAGAACATGTGCAAACCAAACTAACTAGAACTGTATTAGCTGGCATTTTGTGCTATTATGGCAGATTTTTACCATCTGTGTGAGAGCAGATGCTCCCCGGTCCAGTGCATAGGCCTCCAGTTAATCTTTCAAGATGTTTTGAACAAATCTGAACCAGCAGAGTGGGTTTACACTTGATCAGTGCTTCATGGCATGTTGCCATTGGAGTTTTGGATCTGATAGGAAGAACCCCAGAGCCAAGTTTCCTGTCTTGTTGAACCATAGCCCACATAAACATGAAAATAATTTTTCTTCTATTGTATCGGATACTGCCATGCTGAATGGTTTACAAATGGGACATATGTGGTCTCCTTAAAAGAGAAACTGCATTTTTCTTTAGGGTAAGGATTGTACAGGAAAATTGTTTATTTCTATTCAGGTAAGTAGGGAATAGTGTTAATCTCATGTTCTTTGCCCCATGCTTGTATTTATTCAGCTCTACTGCCTGTATCTGCACTTCATGGACCCAGTTTTGACAGAATGACAGCACCTCTCTCCTTTTAT